GGAGCAGAGTTGGGGGCTGGGGGGAAGGAGGATGACTGGGAGTCAGCGGCAGGTCTGTGATGGTACAGGGAGGGGATGCATGCAAAAGGGCGGTGGGTTGGTGCTGCACACGTGAGACACCAGAAGGGGTGCTTGGGTGGATGGGGGAGGCATGTTATGGAGATGAAAGACTGCACTGCAGATATGAGTTACTGGCATGTTCTTCAAATAAATTTGATGACAAAAAAGTTGGGAATCACTAAACTGAGGTGTAGGAAGTATTTATCTCAGCTGTTTTGATCCTAAGGCTGGTGGCTACATCCAATATCAATGATAAGTGCAAGTGGCTGTGGGGTGTTGCTATAACTAAAGTCTATTTCTCTGTCTGCTAGAACTGAAATCAAACATTTGACCTGAAATGTGACCACTGTTTAGTGCTCTTTGTTTCCACAGTTTTCATGGTGATTTGTCTGTATGCAAACATGATGGCAAAACATACTCTGATGTGAATTTAAAACATGACAGCTCTTCCGCAGTAAGAGTACATAAGAATATTTTCCCACACTGCAATAAATCTAGATATTTATTTTAACCCAAGTTCCAAAGAGGAATACACTGAGTTTTACAAAAGGTCCCTCAACAGTGAATAAGGTTATTCACCTGATGCTAGTACACTACTTCCCTGTAACTATCCTGGACCATTTTCCCATTAAAAGAAGGCCTATATCTGGAATTTGGTGTCTTCATTTTACCCTTTTCCTTCCCTATCCAATTTACTGCTGTATTACTTTTATTTTTTTATTTGTCTTGTTTGTTTTCAACTGATGGCACATAAAAACAGGCTTTTAATGAGAAGTTTATTACCTCTTTATTCTCTTTATAACAACTTGACGTGACACCAGATTTAGGTGCTTCTAACACTGCAATAGTAAGAAAAGATTCATTAGCATCTTGTGCCATTTTGAGCTTAAAACCTCCCTATTGACATAATAGCTTTTATGATTGTCTGTGTTTTTTTTTCACCTCCTGTACTTGTCATAGTTCTGTTTTCTGTTAGCATGTATAATAAAGGCTCTTCTCTTTTGCATCAGCAGCAATGGGGTGAAGTTGCAAATATATGATCTACCCACATAAAAAAGTGTCATGCATGCTAAGAAACAAAATGGAAGTTAGCACTTCTGACCTGAAGTGCCACAGAAATTCTTTTTGCAGAACCCTCCTCTTTGCCATGCTCCTTTTATCTGAATAGGCAGATGAGCTGTTCAAGCAAGATTACTCCTTTATTCTCTATCCCCTCTTAATGGGGTGTGTGTGTGTGTGTGAGGAAGGAGATGAGATTTGTGACAAATCAGAAGTTAAAATCAACAGACAAACTCATTACATACCGACCAGGTTTTGGTTTTTTCCCTATAAAATTAAATGAATCATCTCTGAACTGTTTTTCTCCTGACAGGAAATGATGAGTGTTAACATGTATAGCTGGGCCTCAACATGGGTAGGGTGGAAAATCTGAACCAGACAAAAATAGGAGGATCCAAATAACTACATTTTTAAGAAATGTTGACATGGGACTCTCAGTTCTTCTACCTCTAAAATGAGGTGGGTGGCCTTTACTTGTTTTGGAAAGGAGTGGTAGCGTGAAATAAATAAATGCAATGCATTTAAATACTAATGACCTATGGAAAAGTCATAGGGAAGGGGAGGAAAAGGAACAAACAATTAATGCACAATTAAACACTGAACCTCCTTAAAGTGATTTTTCCTAGGACTTGTCATGTCATTGACAGTGGGCAGTATGCTTTAGCACTTAGTACAAGGTTAAATGTCCTAAAAAGGACATGCAAAAAATGGAAAATTACCTTATTCCTACAACAATGACCTATTGTCTTATAGGCATTGTCTGATATGAATTAATGCATGTTTTTTAAATGAAAGATCATATGTTGATTTATTGGTCATAACAATCTATATTTTTTCATGATGCTGGGAAGTGAAGCAAAGAGGCTTTCTGATCTGGGTCTGCAGTCTGAGCTGTCTCATGTTGACAACATTAGCAACAACGTTCTGTGTGGTTTGCCAGCAATTCATTGTTACCGTTCCAGATGCCTCTGTCCACATGGACAGAGCATCCAGAGATGGATAGCATGGAGTACCACTGGGGTCTTGTTACTTTCTGATAGTCACCTCTTCTAGTGTGAGGCAGCAAAGCTTGTTGTAATTGTGATTACAAATACATAAAAGGGAGAAAGAATCTGTCTTAACAATTATCCTCCCTGTCTGCTGCTTTCTGTGTCTGCATTGCTGGGAAATGTGTACTACTTCTGTGTATCCTGATTAGGCTTGATCGTGACTAGAGTAATAACCTTGGGTGCGTAACTTCAGGCTTACTGAGTTGCTAATCACACAATAAGGTATAGCTGTATTTGGTGGGGGTGGGGGGGAAGACTGCTGTCCTTTTGTATGCACTGTTAAATGAGGTGACACTGTATTCAGCTCTCCTTGTACACCTTGATTTTTCTCTGGTGCTTATGCACCTTCCCTGTAATATCACTTGACTGCTTACTTGTGAGGTGGTTGTGGGAACATACTGTCTCATTCACAATAGGGGAAAGAAATAATGGAGTAAACACATAAGTAAAAAACCAAACAAACAAATAACAAGATTCATTTAATATAATTACAAAAAAAGCTTCAAGTTGCAAAAAGGCTATTTAAAATCTGATAGAGATCAATAGTCTCAAAAGTACAGTAGGAAAAGATTAAAACAATGAGCTTTACTGTTGCTCTAGGGTATATTGAGAGGCTTTTCCCCGGAGAGGGTTGGGGTTGTAGTTGTCACTGCTATATAAGATTTAGACATACAGATGTATTCCATCCGCACGTGAAAGATATTTAACACTCAGGTGAAAACAATCTTGAGACTATCAAAATACAGATTGGGGAAGATGTGCTATTGTGCTGTATTATCACTTGCAAAATAAGAGTTGCAGAGAATGGGGAAAATAGTTCTTTTGTGGGAAATAGTTCTTCTGTGAAGTAGAAAGGCTTCTGTCACAAACCCAGTCATTAGCACCAGCAATATGAAAAGACTTACTGCGAGTAAAGAAATTCAGCTTAAAAATGCTGTTTCGAGTTTAGTATTTATAGGTTACTAAGGGTTTTACCACACCTCCTGAGGTGAACAGACATACAGTCATCCACTTGATTACAGAAGACTTTAGGAAATGTGTTAATACTATCACTATTAAATTCTCTATCCCACCTACTACTATGCGAAGTAAAAACGGTCCTGCAGTCAAGTTCTCTCAACTTTGTAAAATTCCTGGTGAATATTGCTCTATAGGTCATCCTGCTTTCTGCATGGCTTGGCTACCCAGATCCAGATATACTCAGTTTGCCAGCTTATTTGACTGCCTTGCCTGAGGAGTAGCTCCTCACTTGGAGGACTTCAGTGATGAGGAAGAATGAAAAAAAAAACAGAAGTGTGAGAGAAAAATATTTTTCCGTAAGTCCTTTACACCCTGAGAATAGAAGAAAAAGTTAAACAGCATATGCAGTGTTTAGAATCATGGAGTATTTTGAATTAATTGAAGATGAAGGGTCACCCAAAATCTTCAAGAAGTTTATTTGCTTTCCAGGTGAAATGAGAGCAGAATGAGGTGATTTTTTTCACTCAGAGATCTTGTGTTTTGTTGAAAGAGTGAAGTCAACTGTCTGGTCAGCATTATATGTAAACTATACAAGTACAGTTTGTATACATTAGATACAAATGCAGAAATACGATGGTACTAAACAGGGTCTTTGCTATTAATGGCCAAACTTCAAGTTAAATGAATTAGGAACTCCATTCAGATACATAAAAAGAAATACAAAGTTTTAGCTAATAAGGAGACGTGTTAATATTATACTCATGACAATTTGGATAAACAGTTTTGATCACTTACTATTTAGTGCTGTAGACAAAGTTTTTTAGTAGAGAAGCTGCTGTAATTTGATCTGTAACCTGGCAAAGGAGCAGTAAGAAAAACCATGATTTTCTTCCTAGCTTTGCATCAAAATATGAATAAAAGGGTGTTTTCAGATTTCCCGCACTTTCCTGCCTTTTTTCCATGTTACTGAATCATTCCTACAGATTTTACAGAACTAACATTATGTACATAAGTATCTAGTTTATTTCCGTACAAAGGAGATTTACATGAAGCTCAGTCATCTGACACTCATGTTTTTCATATTTAGTCTGTGTCCCTGGTCATCACATAAACATTAAAAAATCCTTTGCTAGTTTAACAACAGCAAAGAGCTGCACAGAAAGTAGTTAATTCTGATACGAATAAAGTATAGAGTACCTACCATTTCACACAGACCCTCTGGAAACGTTAGCCTTGGAACTATGGAAAAAATCACTAATTCAGTATTTCGCAGTAGACAGAAATACAAACCTCGGCAAGAAAAGCTGAGGCAAGGTTTGTGGGAGTTTGTGCTACCTCAATCTCTTTGAAATCAATTTATTTTCAACAGTTAGTTTCTAAATGCTCGCGTTCTCCTCTGATGCAAAGAGGACCCTCTGAAGATTAACACCAAGTTCCCTAACTGACATAAACATTAAAGGGGAATTTCTAATTTACAAAGAAAAACAAAACTTTCGCTCTCTCAAGGTCTGTTTTGTTCCAGGACACAGGGTTTATTGCCCCCTCTCCAACCAAACGCAACTGCTTTCGAGACAAGACACAGCTGGGCGAAAATAGGTCCTTTCGTGGTCACTCAGATGAAGAAAAGGAGCGATTTTGTGGCAGATATAGTACAAAAAAACCATTTTTTTATCCCCGAAGAAACACAAGCCGAGCGGCGGAGAGCGCCCGGGCGCCGGCGGCAGGCAGGGCTCGGCCGCGAACCAATCAGCGCGCGTCTCGCCTCTATAA